TTTTGCATGCTTCATCTTCATCTTCCCATAAGGGTCTTGCAAACACCCCATTCTGATCATAGGTAAAAACACTGGTGTGTTTATATGGTTTTTTGCATACATAGATGTCAATGTTCCCTTGTCTCTGATTCATAGGAAGAACTCGGCAGGATGAGTCAGACTAGCACAATGAAGATAGGTAGGGATACTTTTGGAGCTGAGAATGTGTGTCCAAGCAAATCAGTGGTCCTTGATAACTAAAAAACAGAAACTAAGCCAAGTGATATTGACATATTTGTCTATCCCAAAGAAAAGCATGCTGAAATAAGTGGAATGTGAGTGGCATATAATTGGTTCTTGCTTGATACCATTCATAGTCACATAGATACATATACACACACAAGCTGTTAATATGCAAATTACCTTATAATATTACTAATGTATGCAAAGTTCATTTGTAATTTATATGCAAAGCTCAGTGACTGAACACAGAATTTTTAAACAAAGTTCCTAGGAGACACCCCTAAAAATTAAACGCCGCTTCTCAACACCTGTATCTTTATGAGAGAGAGAGATTTAAATACAAAAAAGGCTCTTTGTGATTCTTATTATTATTCATATTAATTCATGCTGAACTATGTGGTATTATTATTCATATTAATTCATGTTGAACCATGTGGTAAGAGGTCCAAAGGGGCTATTTTTCACTTGGCACCCAGGAAACTACTTTGAGTTGATGAAAAAAATGCTACTTTTGCAGTCTGATGGAAGCCTATTAAATACAAATCAGCAAAGTAATAAGATATCACAGACCTTCTGTAAAACATTTGCTGCTGAGTAGAACAGCTGTGGGAGGAGATGCCAGGATAAGTGTTCACCATAAATGAAAGCATTGTGTAATGGAGCAGATGATTCTGCCAAAGGGAAAAATCTGTCTAGAGCAGGCAAATAAGGTAGATTCTGCAGAGAATTTGGTGCTAAACCACACTCTTTTCCAGGTATATCATCTCCAGAGGGACTATTGCAACCAGGTCCGTAAGGTAGAAAATAAATCTAGCAAAGGCAGTTTTAAAAAGGTGGAATCTTGCCTCTGGATCCCAGATGCCAAAGAATGGAAAGCCAGAGATGTAGCTGAATTCATGTCTTCTTTAAGGGCTTCCTATAAAAAATGGTTTAACCTGCCATGAAAACTAGCTAGATATGCTTAGTTAGGCTTTTATACAATTCCTGATACAGCACTGATGACATTATTACCATGACAGCATGTCAGTTTCTCTACTTTATTACCCTTGATAGATGTCATCCATAGCATCCCAGTTTCTCTATTCCCCCTGGCAGATGTCATCCACAGCATGCCACTTTCTTCACTTTCTACCACTTGGGTAGGTACTGACAGCCATGGCAGAGTTCCTCCATCTCCCAAAATCTTCTTCAGCTTTTTATAACCTTCACCCATGTTAAAGGAAGTAGACAGCTGGATTTTCAATTTGACTTGGAAGCCTTATGTTGTCATTAGGCCCGTATTTTTCCTTCCATTCAAATGATTTGAAAGATGTACTTCATTTCAGTTCAAGGTCAATATGAATTTTGGGGATTCCCAAAGGTGCTTTTGCAAGAGGCATTTGTACTTTCTGTTTTTTTTTTTTTGAAGATGTTTCACTTCCCGTCCAAGAAGCTTCTCGGATGACAAACAAAATGTCTTCAAAGAAAAACCAGAAAGTCCAGTTGCCTCTTGGAAAAGTACTTTGGGACAACCATGACATGGATCACTGCGAATCTCCATAGACATCTTGGATTAGAAGTAAGGTTGCTCCAGGAAGGACTAGAAATGATCAGAGATGTTTCAGGTGGCAATGCTCATGTTTCTCTTTAGATCAGTCCATCCCACTTCAAGCAATGCTTTCTGTTCTTCGGACTGGATGCATTTGTTTTCAATGTATTTCATAGAACTGTAGAAAGGAGAAAGGGTTTTTTAACCCCTCCATAGATTACATATGTGGAAAGTGTGGCTTACACTTAGAAGCATAGAGTTGGAACTTTAGTACTTTAGAAGCCACATAATCCAATCTCTTATGAGCAAGCACTTGTTCCCTCAAAGTGGCAGTGTGGTCTGACAGAGTTCTACATATATTTAACCACCCACTCAACAAAATCCAATTTTTCCCCTCTGCGACAGAGTGAGCAGCATCATGAGCACAAAGAGAGAACAGAAGGCAGCACTCTTATTTGTGTAACTTTATAATGCACAGACTCTCTCTTTCTCTTTCATACATACACCTGGAAAACTTAATTCCTAGGTATTAGAAGTTATAAACATACCTTAAGCTGTCCTTTCTTTGATATTGTTACCTATCTCCCATAACTATGTTCAATTGCTTCTCAATTATGCTTCTTGATCTCAACTTGCTCTCAGGAGTGCAGTGAAACATTACAGCATCTTCCCAAATGGTAATTGGGGAAATGGAACACACTAAAAGGAGAAACTACCCAAAACCTTGAAAAAAATCAAATTTGGGCTAGGTAATAGGGAAGTAGTAGGTAAAGAAATCTCTGCACATTGCTAATTAATTGTATCAAACTCTTTCTCAAATTGTTTCTAAAGCTTTTTTTCCTCTATTTGTTTATAGTTGCAGCTTCTAGGATAGCACACTAAATTAAAGCTGCAGAATATAATTATACTTAAGATTCCAAAAGCCCACTGTCTGTTACTAATGAATAAATACAATGCTCAAAGCTTTGCTAACTGTAACAGGGATTTGCATAAACAGCATGGTTACAAAGCCACAGGATTCTACTTTATAATAGAAGGTAAAGCTAAACATATGCTTGAATTGTCCTCTATTTATTTGCAGGATTGAACATAATGAGATTCTTCTCCTTCTCCTTTTCCTTCTCCTTCTACTCCTCCTCCTTCATTGCACTGCATGAACTAAGATATAAACCATTGTAAGCAGAATTTTTTTTCCAGTACAAACATTTCTAGGTGATTACCTTTTCATAGGGCTCATCATGATATATAAAAAGAAGGAAAGTTGTGTTGCATTGTATTGCTTTGCTGTTGTGAACTGTAATTTTAAATGTTTTAAATGCTTTTACTGGTTGTGAGCCGCCCAGAGTCCCTAGGGAGTGGGTGGCATACAAATTCCATGAAAATTTGAAAGTTTGAAGTCTTGTTCTGGAAATGGACATTTGTAGGAATTCTCCAAGTGCAGCAAATCTCAAGCACTGTTATAATCAAATTCTTAATACTAGGAACTTCGGATTCAAATGCAACAAAAGCAAAAGGTTACTATTTCAATATTTTGCTAAGAGTTGACTTTTCAAAGAAAAATCATTTTTGAAAAAGTCTAGCTTACTCTGGGATAGTCTATTTCTAGATTTATACTTGTGCTGAATCCTTCATCATAAAACTAATTATCTCAAACATAAAGAAGACTATGCTACCCTTCTTGTTATATGACCTTTTCTTGTTTTAACTTACTTCTGCAGCGTATTACCTTGTCAAAAGAGGAAAAGAAGTCCTTTTTTCCTATCTATTGATTCATTATTTAATTACATGGCTATTATTACATAGTGTTACTATTATTTTTTATAATCTCAACTGTCTACATATACAGAATATACCTGTATAACAGATGTTTTTTAGCTTTAGACCACCCAGTATCCTTTGGAACTAGGGAAAACGATCAATTAAGAGTCATGATGGTGCAGTGGTTACAATGCAGTATTGCAGGCTAACTCTATTCACAACCAGGAGTTCGATCATGTCTGGCTCAAGGTTGACTCAGCCTTTCATTCTTCTGAGATCAATAACATGAGAATTAGTGGTGGAGTATGCTGACTCTGTACACCACTTAGAGAGGGCTGTAAAGAAATATGAAGTGATATATAAATCTAAGTGGTGTTGCTGTTGCTAATATTATTAAATAAATGCATAGGGCTAAATGCATAGGAGCCATTCAACTACTGAAGCAAAGATGTGTGTAATGGACAGTAAATCTGGCCACTGTGTGATCTTACAGCGAATTCCTTAGTGCACTTAGTGACTGAAAGAACTAAATCTACATCCAAAAGTAACTTTCCTAATCTGGTACCCTTTTGGATATTAGCTCTTATAATCACTGGCCAGCATATGCTTGAGGAAAGTTGTTTGAAAGTGAAAGTCAGGATCCACTAAATCCTCCTTTCCTCCTCCTCTCCTAATCCTTCCATATTGGCTCTTAAAGCTCATTCTTACCACAAGTGATGATATCTGATGACACAGATTCCATCATTTGAAGATTCAGAACACCCCAAAACTGTAACTTAAGTTCTACAATTGCCCTAAAAATTGTTATGAATCTTTCCCACCCAAATATGAAAAAGAACAACCTGGCCTCCACAACATATTTGGTTCAGCCTGTCTTCTTTGCACCAATTTCCTACTCAGTGTGATCATCTAACAATCACAAAAGAACCTTCCCTGAGGGGGACTTGTGTGTTTGTGTGTGTGTGTGTGTGTGTGTGTGTGTGTGTGTTCCTATCTTGATCTTAAATTTGCTCCAGGTCTTCTTGGAGTTTGGAACAAACTGCAAGTGAATGGTCAAATAACTTCCAGGCTCTTTCCTAACCCAGAGATGTTTGCAAGGAGTTAAATAAGTGTAAGGTTCCCCCACACCCACACCCCACACCCACACCCCCCACACAAAAGAGTTTGCACTCTCCAGCTGAAATAGTATCATATGATTAGCTAAATAAGGAATACTTCTCAGAATAAAAGAGATGCCATTTGTGTCAATATACAGAAAAAAGGCAGCCGATTTAATTTTTCCTAAAAGTACCAACAACAGTATCTGGAAAAGAGCCATGAAACATACATTCTGTTTATACTTAGATTGTCATATCCTACTTGGTAAAGTAACACTTCACATGCCACTAGATTTTAAAATGTGCTGCTTTAGGATTTCTTTTATTTTCTTTTTTATATATCGGTATGAAAGCAATTCTCTAAAGTGTAACTGTTTCTCATTCTTGCAGGCCTCATCGTTGATTTACCATGGAAAAACTGTTCTGCAGCATTCTGGTGTTTGGAGTGGTTGTTGCAGTCCATGCCTGTCCAAAATACTGTGTTTGTCAAAATCTGTCTGAGTCACTGGGAACTCTCTGCCCTTCAAAGGGACTTCTTTTTGTACCACCAAACATAGACAGGAGGACTGTTGAACTCCGACTTGGGGGCAACTTTATTATTAACATCAGCAGACAGGACTTTGCCAACATGACTGGCCTTGTTGACCTGACATTGTCTAGGAATACCATCAGTTACATCCAGCCCTATTCCTTTGTTGATTTAGAAAGCCTACGATCTTTGCATTTAGACAGTAATAGGTTGCCTGAAATTGGGGAGGACATTTTGAGGGGCTTGATTAACCTTCAGCACTTGATTCTAAACAACAACCAACTAAATTATATTTCAGATGATGCTTTTGAAGAGTTTCTATTTACTTTAGAAGATCTGGATCTTTCTTATAATAACCTCAAAAGCATCCCTTGGGAATCCATCATGAAGATGATAAACTTGCACCAGATTAGTTTGGATCATAATTTGATCGATTATATCACAGAGGGGACCTTTGCAGATCTACAGAAACTAGCCAGAGTGGATCTAACGTCCAACAGACTTCAGAAGCTTCCTCCTGATCCCATTTTTGCCAGGTCTCAAATATCTCCATTAACTACAACTCCATTTTCCCCACCTTTATCTTTAAGCTTTGGCGGAAACCCTTTGCATTGTAACTGTGAGCTACTGTGGCTACGGCGCCTGGACAGGGATGATGATATGGAAACGTGTGCTTCTCCTCCAGGTTTAAAGGGAAGATATTTTTGGTATGTCCGGGAAGAGGAATTTGTTTGTGAGCCCCCTCTGATTACACAGCATACTCACAAATTTGTAGTTTTAGAAGGACAAACTGCCACTTTGAAGTGCAAAGCAATTGGAGACCCATCTCCCATCATTCACTGGGTGGCACCAGATGATCGACTTATGGGCAATTCTTCAAGAACAATAGTTTATGACAATGGCACTTTGGAAATCCTTATCACAACCTCAAAGGATCTTGGAGTATTCACATGCATAGCAGCAAATGCTGCTGGAGAGTCTACTGCAACAATTGAGTTATCCATTGTGCAGCTTCCGCATCTCAGCAATGGTACAGGCCGGACAGCCCCTCCTAAATCAAGACTTTCTGACATCACAAGTTCCAGCAAGTCTAATCGAGGAGAAAGCAAGGGGCCACCAGACAGGGCAGTCTTGGTTTCTGAGGTGACCACTAGTTCAGCTTTAGTCAAATGGACAGTTAGCAAGTCAGCACCAAGAGTTAAAATGTACCAGCTACAATATAACTGCTCTGATGATGAAGTTCTGATTTATCGGTAAGTGTGAATCCTTTACGAGACAAATGATGTAATTTTTTTAGCAGAGAAATTATAATGTGGATTTGTAGCATAAGTCTCCCTGTCTTGGGTCTATCCGAGTGGTGGCATATATTGTGAAATGGCAAAAATATCATATGCATATTGACAAGTATGCTTGATATCTTTGTTGTGTCTGAAGTAGTATTTTAAAATGTCTTGCCCCGATGACAGTATTGAACTATAGGTTTACTAATATACAATAAGAAATCTATCCCTTTATGAGAAGCTGAAACTGCCTTGTATTTTGCTATAGATTCACATCACCTTTTAACCTTATACAATAAGCATAATGTCTTGAATATAAATGGTTGAATTGGCAATTGTGAGGTCATATAAGGAAGCTGGTGACTTGCAGGCTAATAGTACTGTGCTATTATACATACAGCAATAGCACGTGTTTTTAATCAAAGGGAGGAAAACATTTTGTGGGGATTGAAAACTAAGTCACAGATGTATGATTCAGTAGAGTTAGGTTAACAACTGTCTTTATGTTGGTGGCTTTGGGCCAGCTACTGTCTCTCAGAACAACTTACCTGAGAAAATTATTATCTGGATAAAATAAAGAGAAATTCCTACAGGAAACAAAATTGAATCTATATCAAACAAATAAATAAAATCTTATGCCAGGAGAAATGGAACAGCTAGTTCTCTTCTTGGCACATAGAACAAATTATGTATAATTAATCCTGAACTTTTCCCCCTTTCTAAATTCTTTACAATATAAACCAGGAAATAAAATACATTCTGCTGCCAGTGAATTTTATTGAAGAGTATTATTATTATTATTATTATTATTATTATTATTATTATTATTATTATTGTTGTTGTTGTTGTTGNGAGAGGGCTGAAAGCCCTATGAAGCGGTATATAAGTCTAACTGCTGTTGCTAATGTATAGATAACTCAAGGGCATCTATATAAATTTAACAAATAAATACATAAGACCCCAAGTTCCCTGTAGTTTTCTCACTAGTAAGAATATTACAACAATATCATTACATGATTTCCATTATCTGTGGCAGACAGTTCAGAAAAAGGGTTTCAGAAATGGTTAAGATGTCCCTAGTATAAACCCTCAATATTTATAATGTTGCATCTACAGTATTTGTAAAATGTAAAATGTTTAATTATCTTCTGAAATAAATGATTCAATATTTAGCAGAGATTTGGTATTTAGAGGATATGCTTAGAATGCTGTCTCTTAGAATATATTAAAACAGCTTTAAAATGATTTGACACTGGAATAAAAGCAATTAAACATAAAAACATCTATATACATAGTAAAATGCTTCCATTGTTACATACCATTCTTGTATTTTTAGGATTTAAATAAATGATGCATGTTGATTAAGATTCTAGCAACAAAAATATTAAAATAAAAACTTGCAATACTAGCCTTGTATATCAGATACTTTACAGAACAAATGTCTCTGACTTTCTGAGCTAAGGTTACTTGATATCTGAACCGGCAAAGGATGACTGGGATTATTGAAAAGGAGGACAAATAGGAAAAATGAGGTTATACTGTTTAACTTTCTTGACACCTGTAACAAAAAATACAGTGAAAAACTGCAAAATACAAAATGTATATGAAGATTCTTTTTTCCCGACATCAGAAAAAACAGATATTTCAATATTTTTCAAGAAATCATTTTTGAAAGGGTATGTTACTGATAGCAAAACATAAATTATAATGTGCTTTTCAAATTTCACATAGAAACAGGATGAATCATATGTTCTATACTACAGTGAGCATATAGGTTTGTAGGGTCTGGATTGAATCAAGAAATAAATAACATAAATCTAGGCTGCCAAGTCTGCCTATGGACCTATCAACTCTGAGGTGAAGCTGGCTGAAGTCATCTTTTGCTGCTTCATAGTTGCTATGAACCCTGAGGCAGGAAGGGGGGAGGGCAGTAGGTAGACTGGCTAACAGTCAAAACAATGTTTTCCTATGTGAACCAAGATCATATTAACAGGTTGCTATAAAAAGAGGAGAGGAGTGACCAAGCAGCCTGCCAGCTACTTTCATTGGACAATGTGACCAGTGACATCTTGGAGGGGGAACTTTTGCTCTTTTAATTAGGTGAAAACCGTTAGAGTTGGTTTTCACTGGCTGTGCCAATATGATGTATCCAATAAACATGTTGAGGGATCTACCTGTCTTGTAGTTCTGCTTTCAATGGGTGCTTGGAATGCTGACAGGACCAGAGAAACACACACACACACAAAATCAATCTATACAGGGCCATGAAACTTTCAATAACTAATGTGAAAACAGTCCCCTCTCCCCAATATTCCGTGTAAAACAAAAAAGCACAATAATATTTAATTTCAAGGCTATGCCTGCTAGTGGAAAACATGAGGACACATCCTTCTTTTGCTGGACATCTGATAAACCGAAATTAGGTACATTTTATTTTCATGCTAAAATAGATCTGCAGGTCTCTCCTTTTTCAATTTGTAGCTTGCAAGAGAATGCAGTTTTGTTTTGTTTTGATCCAGATATAGGAATATAAAATTTCTATAAGCACCATGGCTTGTACAATTAAGACTGTTTGCATAAAACATAATTTCTCATGTTTTATGGTATCTCATGTTATAATTTTATGAAGAACCTTTCAATGAAATTTCTGATCTTCCTTTGTTTCTATGCCTAAAACTTATAATAGCAAACCACAGCTTATTGTTGCATATTGAAACTCTAACAAACAAGAATCTAAATATCACTATTAAAATAACACAGTTTCACTTGAGTGAAGAGTCAACTGGAAAGTAGATAAATTAAGAATAAGTTGTTAAAAAAAGCTTATTAATGAATCGGTATGGCAACACTAATAAGAAACTATTAGCAAGGGGTATGGCATTATAGATCAGTTTGAGTTTTTTCCCCTAGTGCTGGAAATCTTCAACTTCCTTCTCTGCTAAAAAGAGCAATATCCATAACCTAGAATCTTGTTTGGGGAGACAAACAGCAAATCAGTTATGCTGAAGAATGATACACTTTCCTGAGGCAATTACAAGGTAACTCATTTGGCATCATCAGAGGATTTTTCGATTTTGGCCTTAATGGCATTTGTGCGGATAGCTTGTTCTTGCACAGCCAGGATTAGTGACTCTGTTTC